GCCTGTCTGCCACGCGGTCTCCCTCCAACCGTCTGGGCTCAGAGGTACAGCAAACTTTCCTGCCCAAATCCCTGGGTTCCTTTTACCTTTCCAGGGGAGTTCTGCTCTTCCCGGCTGCAAACCGTCTCACCAGCTGAGCCCTTTCGCCAACTCGGGTTGGGTGCTATTAGTTTCAGCTGCTCACTCCATTTGCTCCGGGACACGACCTGGGACGCGTCTGCCTATATCGCCGCCATGAAAAGGGACAGTTTAAATTCATCTGCATTTTTGCTTTTTTGTAGGTCACTTATACTTATTCTCTTCTCTATGCAACTTGTATATGGGGTGAGTACATTAATTAGCTCTGATGGCATGCTGAAAATTCACTTTATTGAATGCATTATTTTTGTTATATTTTTAAACAAGTAGCTCCCTGGGATTCAGTTTTCTCATCTGTAACATGAAGTGTTGGACTAGATGAACTCTAAAGTTTCTTTTATCTTTTACAGTCAAGACTGCTTAGCAAACTGCCTCCAAATGATATTGGAGATATTTTTATTTTATAATATAATCCTTTCTTAAAAACATTTTTTGGAGAGGGCCAGGAAGCAGCTGGGCCACTTCACGATTAAATCAAGAAATATAAGATTAAATTTGAAATTTTAACTCTGGAGTAAGATAAGACTAGAACATTCTGTAATAAGATCTTAGAATCTAAGTTATTAAAAACCAACTTCAGATGTTTTGGGGAAATTCAATGGGCTGCCTGTAACTCAGGCTGATCTTAAGACAGCTGGGCTGCATTAAATAACTTTAGTGAACACATTTCTATCTCATCTCTCCAGCTTGGATCCACCCAATCTAATTCTGTGATGCAAGTTATCAAAGCAAATCAAATAGAAAGCTTCTTTCTGTCCTCTTCTTATCAGTCAGGAGTAGAAGGCATTTGTGTTCAGAAATGGTTCTTGGCTGTGACAATGATTGATCTCTTAACCTAGCCAAGACTCAGTTTATCCTGACTGAAGTAAAGATGATAAGATTTATCCAGCTCAGTTCACATGCACTTGAGAGCATCACCTGCAATCAGAAATGAAAACACACTGAAATATATGTGTGTGGATTTTTCTATTTATCTTACTTGATATCCCTGTTTATTTTTGTATTATATTCTTTTTATTATTATTATTATGAAGGTTTACAGAGTCCTAAATTTCACTTCCTTTGTTCCTTATGTTCCATATGAATGAATTTGGTTCCTGAACCAAAGATCGTCCTGCTCTGGATTTTCCCAGCAGCCTGTGTATGCAGAGATTCTGGAGTTCACACAGGGAGTGGCTATGCTACAGTTGGGTTGTAAAGGTGGAGATATACATTGCTGCAGTATCAATGGGAGGCAATTTAACTTTCAAGATTTTAAGTGCACGTACCTGTTGACACCAAAATTTATCTTTTTGGAATGTATCATACATACTTACATTGGCTTGTGCATAAAGATAAATGCACAACAATACTAGTTGCAGGATATTGTTCAGTAGCAAAAAAAGGGCGATAGTTACATTTCCATCAGTAAAGACTGATTACACAGTTAGAATACTTTGTCTGTAGCCAAGTGTATTATTTTGGCATGATTTTGAAGACATCTGATTGAGTGAAAACAGCAAGGCACAGGAAAATATACCACACCAAAAAGTTGTGTGTGTATGCATGTGATAATCATGTGAATGTGCTTATAAATACCCAGACACCAATTTGAGGAGATCAATTACCTCTAGGAGAGAGAATGGGAGGCCACGACGGAAGAGAAAATGTCTTTTTCCATTATACTCTTTTGCACTATTTGGTGTGGTTTTTTTTAAAAATCATGTGCATATATTATTTGTTTTTCAAAAAAGAAAATAGAGGTACAAATATAGGGCAGATGACTAATCTATAAATTAATAACATTATTTTCTTAAACTTTCTATGCAATAAATATTTATTTAAAAATATCTATCATAAAATGGATCATGACTTTTCCTTTTTTCTCTTTGAAGAAGTTACATTGGTTTTAGAGAATGTCAGTATATTGCCAGTGAGTACAGTATATATTTTGAATGTTGACTTGTCTGAGATAGAGTCTTTATCTTCTTTTAATGGGTTCCTACAATCTGTTTTTTAAGATTCTTCCTCTATACACGCCCCCTCCTTTTCAAATGCTGTTTATTGGGCTGTGTCTAATGTAGAAGAACTTTGTAGAGGCTAAAATCACCTCTTGCTTTTTTCTTCTGTTGGTCCAAGTCAAAGCTTTATATACAACTATTTCTGTTTCTTTATTAGAATCTGCTGATCTATTTTAAATGGATTCTTCTCTGAATGTAATTTTGCTCCCAAATATCTCAGTGATGCTTGGCACAATGAAGTTAAAAAAAAAAAAAACACAACACACACACAAAAAATAAAACAACAAACTTGCCTTTATTATCAAGCCATTGAATCAACTGCCCCTCCTTTTTCCCTGGTTGTTTTGATATTTCACTGAACACATAGTAATGAACCCAACCTCAAATGAACCTAAGTGTTCAGACTAGTTGTTTTAATGCTTTCATGCTGTCCTGATCTGGCCCTGGGCATTTATTAATTTAATTTTCTTTTTTACCTTACCAGGGTTTTGAACTCTATGTTTCTACATCATAAATAACAGAGTTACTCAAAACTCAAGAGGCATCTATTTCTAAAACTTCAAATACATTTTTTAAACTTTAATTATCTAATTGCTTGGCTCTTGTCATGGTTTAAATTTTTATATACTTTCAATGACCCATTAAGAGTTTTGTTTATAAGGATGTCTTTTTATTACTGCTTAATGTAAAGATATTTTCTTTTGGATTGTTTCTGAGCATAATTTTCCTGAAAAAAAAATTCTAAATTATGTGATTGAAAAGGAAAAAAAAAACATGCTAGATAGACTCCTTTCCCTCCCATATACATGTATTTATATATGTGCATATTCATATATATATATATACACATACATATCTATGTACCTACATTGATACATAGTTTTATATATCTATATATCTATATCTACCTATATATAGATATATAGATATATAAAACTTCCATCAGAACTATAAATATTGGTTGAACTGTTTTGTTTCCCATTATACATTAATCTAAAGACTTAAGTTTACAGCCTGGAGTTTAAAACGATCTATCAGTTACAGAAATGTGTGGTTAATACACGCACCTGCAGTGAGTGCTGGGCCTGGCTGGATCGTGCCTTTCTGGCATGTGCGTTAATGCCCTCAGCTCCTGGCACTGGGAGCTGCTTCAGGCACCACTCTCCCAGTCATAGCCCGAGCCAGTGACAAAGCTCAGAGCTCATCTCCACTGCACCGTCGTGAGGAACCCGCCTATGGAAACAGCTCCTCTGCAAATACACTTTTTTGTATTGAAGTGATGGATGACTCTGGGTACAGATAATGAGGATTTGCGAGAGCAGGGGACTAATTTCCCCCAAATTAGTGCATGTGTGTGTTTGGGGGAGCATTTAAGTTAAGAAAATACACGAGTCTTTAAAGAGAGTGTTGAAGAAAAGTCAGGGAAAGTGGGGAAAGTGCCCAAATTATTTAAGTTCAGGAGCTTTCTGGTTGAGAGACACCTTGGAGGAACGATCCTGAAGCATCAGCAAATTGTAGGAAGAACAATTTTTTGCCAGAATGTTGACATAAGAGGGACTCCATGAAGGAGACACGCCCTAGCTGATCTTGGAGGTAAAACAAGAGTCCTGAAAAAGAAAAGAAGTCAAACTTATACTTTGAATTAGGCATCATTGTGTACTTATATTTACCCTAACTACACAGTTTATACTCTCCGATCATCCACAACTTAGTAAATGAATCTTAAACTGGAGAGAGAAATGCCGAAGGTTCTGGTGAAAGCCAGTTAGCTGACATATTGTATCCTGGCCCACACAGACTTTTGCTCACAAAGTCATCAATCCTCTTTTTTATCAAGCCACAAGGTAAAGTCTCTGCCTTTTTACCTATCGCTATTAGTCCCTTATTTTCACAGACTCAAAGGTAAAGGTATACTCTGGACTCCTCATGAGTCAGGCAACGCAAGCATGCTTTTTGTAATGTGTGTATCACGTAGGCGGCTAAGGAATGGGTTGCATGTACTGAATCAGATGTTTCACCTTCCAGAGTGGAAAGAAGTTCACTCCTTGTGGAGGGAGAGATTGCTCTGTCTGCCAGTGCTTTCCTGAAAAGGGGGCTCGGGTAAGTGATATAAACACCCACGGATGCTGGGGGAGGGGAAATGGGCAGGTACTAATTAAAGGGCATAAAGTTTCAGTGAAGCAAGTTGAGTAAGCTCTAGAGATCTGCTGTATAGCCTTCTGTCTATGCTTCCTTAAACATTTGTTGAGAGGGTTAAGCTAGTGGTAAGTGGTCTTACCACAATAAATGTTTTTAAGAAATCAACATGGACAGCATTCTGAATTTTGAGCCATTGGGAATATTTAACAGTAAGTAGCCCTGGATTCTCAGCACATTCTGGTAGTTGGCAATGTTTGCATCTTTTATAATCAACGTTCTGTACATTCTGATAAGCAATCCCAATTACATTAGACCATGCTTAGCAGACAGTCTGGGCAGCAGTGTTTCACCCAGTGATTTGCTAGCTGCAGAAGGGGTCCCATTGTTAAAGGAAACATTCTGGGTGGCTCTCTTGATACTCATGTTGCATATCAGCATTTTAAAGGCTCTGAGAAGGGCTGCAGTTAGTTTTGTTTGTTTTTTTAAAGCTTGTTTAACTTTGTTTAAACTAGTGTTTCCAGACATTGGACTATAAGACTCTTTTTTGGATAACACCTGTTGAAATGCTGTGGAATAGTGATCTATAATAAAAGGAATAGTGGCATTTCTCACATATTTCTCCTGTGCCAAGCACTGACTTCTCACAACAACTCTCTTATAGTCTTGTACTGACCTTTCGGTGCAGAAGACGGAGGCACAGAGCCCTGCAGTGTCTTGCTCAAGTCCACCCAGAGTGGTGCTTTTGATTACTGCACTAGACTCTCTGGTCTTGAATGCACAAGAACCCTCTTGGGTACAGTGGATCTATTGGGCATTTATAAAACTCTCCCTTATATTGTGGCAGCACCAGCTGGCAGCCCACTAACTCGTTTGTGTGAGAAAATTAAATCAAAAATTCTTTTGATTAAAAATACTTCCACAATCTTATAGGGAAGGAGTGTGTTTCAGAAGCTTTGGACAGTGTTTGAGGCAGAGCGATGATTCTGTTGAAACATGTCCAAGTCGATCCTATGGGGCTGGGCATGAAGCTCTGAAAGCACAATTCGGTAAAGATCAGTCGATAAGGACTGAAATATTATTGTCCTGAGAGAAAGGACCATATGTTTCTCCCACAGCATCTGTTTATCTTCACCTGGTAGGTGTGCAATGTGTATGGGGTTCCTTTGTCCATCAACTGCCTTATTGAGCTTGGGGCAATCCCTTCTTTTAAGCTGTTTAGTGTCTTCTTCAGTACTTCAAAGATTTCAGTGATCAGAATTTATCATGAGCTTTTTCAAGCCACTTTATGACATAATTTTTAATTTTTCCTTACAGTTGACATATAATACAGTATCAGTTTTAGGTATACAACATAGTGGTTAGACATTTATGAAGTGATCTCCCCAATAAGTCTAGGATGCACCTGGCACCATACATAGTTTTTACAATATTATTGGCTGTATTCCCTATGCTGTACTTTACATCTGCCTGACTATTTTTATAATTGGCAATTTTTACTTCATGAAATAATTTAAAAACAAAAGGTGCAAGCTTCCAGTTTTAGCATAAGTCCTGGGGCTGTAATGCGCAGCGGGTGACTGTAGTTATTAACTGTTCTCTGCATTTGAAAGTTGCTAAGGAAGTAGATCTTAAAGATTCTCATCACAAGAAAAAAAATTGTTAGCTATATGCGGTGATGGCTATTAACTAGACTTATTGTGGTGATCATTTTACAATATATACAAATATCAAATCATTGTCTTGTATACTTGAAACCAATATCATATTATATGTCAATTATAACTCAATTTTTTAAAAGTAGGGACACTAAAAACTAGCACTCTAAGAAATGCTTTAGCCTTTTCCATGTAAATACACACATTATTCAGGATAAAAAGGCTGGTTTTTGTGACATTGTTAATATAAACATATTAAGATTGTATACATAAAAAAGAAAAGAAATCAGTGCATCTAAATGTGAAGACTTTTTGAGCTTGAGACCCTAGAAATATGGATTGATCAGCTCTGTGGCAGGAAGGGGATGGGGCACCACCCAACAGAGAGGACCAGTTGCTTGGATAAAGCCAGCTTGGTGTGGTCCTCCGATTTAAATGAGGCTGAGAGTTGTTTTATCAGGGACATTTGGCAACATTTAGAGACATTTGTTGGTTGACACAACTGGGTGGAACAGGGTGCTACTGGTTCTAGTGGGTGGAAGCCAGGGACTCTGCTCAGCCTCCTACCACGCACAGGACAGTCCCCACACCAAAGACTTTCTGTCCCCAAATGCCAATAGTGCCAAGGTTGAGGGACCCTGCCCCAATCCTACAACAGCTTGTAAGGCCACTATAATATTATTTGTCTGTCAATACAAGGAACAGAGTTTCCAAGAGTTTTAAGTACTTGCTTGTATGGGGAAGAAGCAGGGCACACACCTGGTGTCTGGCTTCCACCAGCATTTGCCCCAGGATCAAGTTGAAGATGATTACACAAAGGTTCAGACGTCAGTTCTAGTCATAACTTTGTGAGCTCTGGTGGACATTTCAAGCTGCCCAAACCTTGTTTTTTTCATATTTACACCGTGGCTCCTTTCTTCTCAGTTTCCTTGGGCTCTTCAACAGTCAAAAGTAATTGCATATGTCGAGGGTGTACTGTGTGTCCTATAACACAGTCATCAGCCCATGGTTAGGAGGGCTCCCGGCACAGGCTGCTGTCGGTGTCCCTGATTCTGGGTGGTCAGGGATTGCTGTGTGCGGAACACTGGTCAACCTCTGGCCTCCCTGAGACAGATGGTCCCATGAGAAGGCTGCAAGTTGCTGGGGAGTCTACCAGCTGGGAATCCGGGAGCGTGACTTGTGCATAACTGGAGGTGGTTTGGGAGGCGGGCTTCCCACGTCCTCAGCAGCCAGCCAACTAGCATACCATCTCTTGTGCCGTGTTTGCAGCTCAAGGTGGGCTATAAAAATAGGAAGATACCGAATTCTGGAGGTTAGAGCATCTGTTCAAGGCAGCACAGCTATTAGGAGCTTAGCCAGGCATTTCTAAGAAAGACTATGTACTCTTGATGGCTTACTGCCTGAGAGAGGAGTTTGTTCAAGCCCCAAGTCAAAGCTGCTGTCTGTGTCTAAAGCCATTGTGGGAAGCCAGGCTGCCCCCACCCTGGAATGACTGAGGTTAGGGTTTTAACTGGGCACTGAAGCTTAAGGTTGATGTGGAGCTGGGACATGTCCAAGGGCAGCTCCCCCAATGCCTACAGAATGAAGTTCAGTGTCACCAATGTACGACTGGAGGTTGAGTCTAACCTCAATAAGTGTTTCATCAGTAATCACTACTGCTTCCCTCTGATCCTCTCCAGCTGTCAGTCAGGCCCTTTACCCTCCCTTGAACATAGTCTGAACATTCTCACTTCTCTGCCCTTTCTACTTCCAGTCTGTGTCTATCTCTCCTGCCCTCCCCAAAGGAACTCAGTGGAGATGCCTCCTGCCCCCATAAGCCTCCTGCCTAGTCCAGCCAGTGTGGATGCTCCCTGGGGGCACCTGCTTTCCTTCACTTCTCATACCCTGATGGTGCCTCCTGCCCATAGTGGACACTGTAGAAATCTAAGTTGCCTACTTTTGTTTCTCCCCTTTGAGAATGGGGGTGGGGGTCATTTTTTGGTACTTCTTTGAGATGATCATATTAGGTGGCACCTAAAAGGTAGTTAATATACATAAATTAATAAATAAACTTCAGACTCTAGCTTGGATAGGGTTCAGGATCCTGAGCTGGTAGACTGGCTGCAGCGTGGGTGTAGCATATGTCGAGGGTGTACTGTGTGTCCTATAACACAGTCATCAGCCCAAGGTTAGGAGTCAGTCACCTGCCACATCCAAGAGAAGGGGAACGGAATTAGTGGGGAGTATCTCCCCCAGTCTTCCCCGCCCCCACAGCACCTAAATCTGTTATTAAATGAGGCATCGCACATATTTCAAATTCCCTTGTGAATTTCAGGTAGGGCCAGTAATGAGCACTTGGTGCAGCAGCAACAAATATGACCACAAACTTGCTGCACTTGGACCTTGTAAGGGTTCAGTAGCATCCCAGAAAGAACTGGAGTCTGAGGCGGTCTCTTTCAGGATGGAGCCCTCACCTGGGAAATAAGAGTTTGTATCAGAGGGCTGGTCCTGCTCCTCGCATCTCTAGCAGCCTGTGGAGCTATGATAAGGGGCATGGCTTCTATTACGTAATGGCTGCTTAATTGGCTTCCCCAAATATATTGACTGTCATAGCATCTCCCCAAACTCCATGATAATCCCTTTTTAAGGATGTGATGAGGTGGTGTTGGGAAGAATTTTAAATTATTCATGATCAGTTTCAAGGGAGAAAATGTCTCTGTTCTTTGATGATTATCTCCTTGCAGGGAAAATCACGTTTTTATAGGCTAGGATCAAACCTTTTAGAAATTCTGCTTTATGGCTAGCATGGTAATAAAGACACTTTCTCTAGTTTTTTTCTAAAATAAAACATATCGAGAAACTAAGATGGTGGCATAGATAAACACCAGGAAATTGCTGCCTCCCACAACAATTGAAAAATAAAACAAAAACACAAAACGGACATCATCCAGAACTACAGGAAGGCTGGCTGAGTGTAAATTCTACAACTACAAGGAAAGAAAAGCACACTGAGAGCCAGAGGAGCTGTGGAAGTAAAGTGCAGAGGTACGGGGTTTCTCTCGCGTGGATAGTGGCTGGCACCTGAGGGCTCGGTTGTCTTTTTAAATCGGGAGGGAGTGACAAGCTCCCGACTGCTCTGAACTCCGGTTCCGGGAAGTCTCTGGGGACCCAGGACTCATTCGGGGAGAAACTGGACTGTCTGGCAGCGGGCGAACTTGAGGGTGG